ATATATGTATATGTATAAAATATATTTAAGAAATGTGCCGCTCACGCGCAGCCAAACGATGGAGTGGCGAAATCTTCGTTTGTGTTTTCTTAAATTTTATCACTGATCCTCATCATGCTTTTTTTATATAGTTCAAATGCGATCCAAGAATCTACAAAAGTAATCTGCGAACTAGCTCCGATCGAGCAGAAAAGCGAGGATATTTTATACGAGTTAAGAGATATTACAGTTACATATAATCCAAATCGTAGCTTTGTATCGTGTGAGAGGGCTATTTGTGACGGGTATACGATATAATGGCATTCGAAAAGTTACAGGTATAGTAACTGTAATTATAATAAAATATACGGATGAATAAACAGCTATATCTAAACGAAAAATTGCATTCTTCAAATTCCGCGGACATTCAGGGTCATTTCGTAATTATCACTTAGATACGTCATACACACGTGATATATGTATATGATATGCACGTGGGCGTGTAAAGACGTGTAAAGCCTGGCATTCCACGTATTTGTTATCTGTCAGCATACCTTGGCATACTTAACAAATCAATTGTTGGTGATTTATATTTTAAAATCGTCGTAAATTTGGTCTCTCTCATGATTTGAAATTCCATCAACAATGAAATGCGATCTGTACCATTTCTGAGATCATAATTTTTTAATTTTATTTAAAAATTTTTTTAATAATTATTAAAATTATTAAAATTGTTTTCCTTTCAAGAGATACAATGCGATATAAGTTCTATCTTTATTATTCATTGAAAATTAAGAAGGATAGAACGATATTTGTGTCTCCTAAGGAACTCTACACAATCAAAGGAATAGAGAACAGAAAATAAGAATTTCAATCAAAAACTGTGCTCCACAAAATATGATTTCTGATAGATTGAGATTCTTTTTTACTATTCTCTGTTCACTATTCCTTTGATTGTGCGGAACTATTAAAAGGAAAGCAGTTTTAATTATAAATGTATAAGATCGAATTATAAATGAGTATGTAACGCCAGATTATGCGCGATTTGAGACGGTTTAAAATTCATAATTAGGTATTTGTTTGAACTATAGCTGCAAGTAATGCGAATGGATGAGTTTGTATTCATTATGATTCATTGTTTATTACTCATGTCAATTCGTCAGCAGAGTGGATTTTTTTTTTACAAATTTAAAGGGCGCGAATCATCACGAATCGCGCCACGTTGACATCTGGCGGTCGAGCTTGTTTACTAAGAATGACATTCTTGTGCGTATTGTTGAACACGGTGATATCAATCGTACATAGATCACGTTTCGCAATCCGAGAAATGCGAGACCGAATCGACAAATTAAAAATGCACACATAAACTCATAACAAACAGCGATGGTCATTCTATAATCGCAGCCCTGTGAGCTTTTCTGGACTGTTCAAGTGTTACAATCTAACCTAATTTTTTCTTTCATGCTGCTCTGCAAGCATAAACTGTTTCAAAATGATGCAACAATATATGAAGGAATTGGAGCAGGTTTTTAGAATTAATCTCTTTTTTCGTTCATTGAAAAATTAATTTCACGATTTATTTCGATATTACATAATTTTATATATTAGTCATTAAGTGTAATATGAGATCAGCTTATACAAGAACTACCTAGTCATTTCAATAAATTTAATTTTTTAAATAAATGCAATAAATTTAATACCGTATAATTTATAAATTTCTGTGCAATGTCATATTAAGCTGATGTCATGAATAGATTGCAACATTGTTTCACAGGATCCGTTTGACCCTGAAGAATTTGTCGAAAGATTAGCTTGGAGAACTGTCAATGATAACACGAAAGATGGAGGAAAGACATTTTTTGATCCAGTTATCGTTCACGAGACTTTTTTGCAAGCAATTAAAGACTTACAGATCCTACAAGAACGTCAGCAAAAGAAATGCGATAAATTAGAAGCTGCGCTGAAAGAAGAAGAAGCTCGACATATGTTTGAGATATTAGAATTACAGGAGAGAAATCGACATTTTATTGAGTTATTTCATCAGTTAGATGAGAGAATAAATCTCGTAGCTACTAAAGTCTTACATCTGGGAGATCAGTTGGAAAGTGTCAATACACCGAGGGCAAGAGCAGTTGAAGCTCAAAAATTAATGAGACACTTCTCAGAATTTTTAAGTCCTGGTCCATTGACAGATCCAATTTTCACAGATAAGTCCTCGGTAAAGATAGAAGATAATTAAATTATTTTTACAACTAAAAAATTTACTTGCAGAAAAAGAAACTAAAACATAAAGGAAAAAAGAAAAAATACTTAAAAAAAAACATACTTTTATTCCTTTATAATTTATTATATATCCCAAAATTACATACATTTCAAATTTTTAATAATTCTGGATATTGAAATTCATATTCTCTGGAGAACTTTGTTTTTTTTAGTTATGTCGTTGTAGTAAATGAACGATATGTGGAAATAAAGTTTGATAAAGTTTATTTAAATTGGTTAATAAAGTTTATTCAATGTTATTTGTTACAGTTAAACGATGCTGCGGATGTAATACAAAAACTCCATCTCATAGCCCAGGAACTTCCTTCTGAAAAATTTGAACATGCCAAGAAGAAAATTGGTATCAAGTATGACGAAATAGAACGGAATCTAATCGAGGAATTTGTAAGAGCGCACAATAGAGAAGATGCGCCGCGTATGAGGGAATTGGCGAGTACTTTGGCAAATTTCAAGGGTTACTCTCAGTGCATCGATGCATTTATAGAACAAAGTCAAATGGGTTCCTTCGGTGGAAAGGATGTCTTTCAAGATGTCATACCTATGTGTACAAAATATCACAAGCTTATGCAACAGGTGTTCTCTAATCCTGAGCAAGTGATGGCTAAGTTTGTTTTAAACATATACCATCTGCGCCTTCAAAAATATGCGGTTGCTAAATTAGCTGACAAAAATGATTCCGAAAAGTATCTTAAAAATCTGTACGATCTGTATACAAGAACTGTTAAGCTGTCCAATGATCTAAAGGTCTTCAATATGGGCGCTGATGAAACTTATCTTGCCAAACTTACTAGAAACATCTTTCAGAAATATTTAGATACTTATATTAGGTAAGTTCATAATTTAGAATTATGCTGCTGGAAATAATAGAGCTGGCTAATGATTATTATTGATTATTTTAGTATCGAAACGAAGGCATTTCGAGAAAAGTCAGCAACTTTGCTTATAGAATATTACGAATCCAAAAATCATCAGAAAAAGCAATTGCAAATGGGTGGCTTTCAAGAATTACGTAGAGACTTACAGGCTGTATTAGGTGCAAGAACGAATATAAACATTGCTCAAATAGAAGATTACGGAGGGGAAACGTTTTTGTCAGAAGAACTGGCAATCGCGATACTACAGAGAAGCAAACTCGCATTTCAAAGATGTCAATTACTTTCACAATCTATTGATATATCTACAAATGCACTGCAGATCTTGGAAATATTATTACAATATTTAATAAGCGAGCATGTAGACTATGCATTGGAATTGGGCTTACAAAGTGTACCGATACCAGAGAGTAGGACTCAACCAGAAATTCATTTTTTCAATGTAGTGCATCAGTGTAATGCCATTGTCCGACTTTTGGAGGAACAATTCAACGACAGTGTACTGCCTCTTGTTATGTATGCAAGTTTTTTATTTATCTGATATGCTTTTTTTACAATAGCAATACAAGTTATAATACTATATTTTTTTTTTAGTTCGACACCCAAACACGCTGACTGTTTATTGAAGAAAAAAGCGGTATTAGAACAAATAGATGTCAAGTTAGACATTGGCTTAGACAGAAGCATAAACGCTATTGTAGGTTGGGTAAAAGTATATTTACAAAGCGAACAAAAAAAGACTGATTTTAAGCCGGAAACCAATGTGGATACTGTGAATACTCCAGCTTGTTTAGTAGTGGTACAGTACGTGAGCGGTATGATACGACTGATACGAAACACCTTGGACGGCAGGCATTTAGATACCGCTCTTAAAGAATTAGGAATTAGATTCCACAAAATCATTTACGATCATTTACAACAATTTCAATTTAATTCCGCTGGTGCTATGTGCGCGATATGCGACATGAATGAATATCGCAAATGCATTAAAGAGCTCGAAGTTGAATTTGTTACGAATCTCTTTGATACTTTGCACGCTTTGTGCAACTTGCTGTTGGTTAAACCGGAAAATCTGAAACAAGTTTGTACAGGAGAGCAGTTGGTATGTTGTATAATGTATTGTATTCAAGAAATATATTTTTAGAAATATATATTATATATATATTTTTTTATGATTACAGATGACACTTGATCGTACCGTTCTACTTAATTTTATTCAATTAAGGACTGATTACAAGACACAGAAGTTAGCCAATTGTTTAAAAGGTATAACAACTTAATGACATATTCTGCTTAAATAAAAATCGAAAAATATTTCATGCTCAGCCTACTTCTTCATGATCAATGATTAAACTAGCTACCAAATATATGAAAACAAGTAATATCATGGTTAAATAATTTTTTAATCATTTTTTTAAATATTATTTTCGCCTTTAGGCTCATTCATCCTGTTATATTTGCAAATATATAGCATTTGCAGAAAATAGTCTTCAAAATAGATTTACCCTATTCATTATTTTGACAAATCACAATAAATGAGTTGATTAGAGATGCATTCCACAATTTTTGATAAGATAATATTAAATTGAAGTCTAATAACATAAAAGAAAATAACAAAGATGGAGAATTTTGGCGCACAATTATATATTTTATTATACATCAGAGATATTAATTACAAGTAGTTTCTTTTAATATTACAGTGTGTAAAATATTGCAAAAACATTTCATATTTCATACTTAAAATTGTTTTTTACAGATTGATAGATTTGAAATTTGCTTTTATTTGTGCGCGAAAATTCGCGTTTTTGTTTATTACAATATTCTGTTATTCGTTTAAATTTAGTTATAAATATAATTATTCAAATATTCATATTTGCACGTTACAGAAGAAAATATTTATAAAAGTCATTATATTAAACGTCTAATCAGAAAGCATTCCATGTCTTTTAAAATTAAAGAACTGCTAAAGTTTGACAGCTCACATACTGTTGTCAATACACGCTGTCTAAACGCGACAATTTATAGTTCCATACTGTAGGAAATCGACTTCAGCTTGATTAAATGACTTTTTAATGAGTTATGAAAAAAGTGGAAAGAGACGCGCAGTCCACTGTATATCAGCGCATACGATAGTTGTTAGTCTCGTGTACTTGGCACAACTCCCCTTTAAAATCTAACTCAATGCTGAAATCCAGATCTCTGTAATTCCTGGCATTGGGCCTCATCGAGAATACGCCGTATATTTCTTCTCCCTTCTTCACTGTCATATACTCGTCGAAATAAAAGACAGTTTGCTTCCAATGTGTGTATGGCACTTCCGGTGCGGTACTGAAGCCAATACGTTTGTGGCACTTTGTGAATTCGATGTTGAAGAATGTAACTAAAGCTTGTACATAGTCATTTCTGCGGACTTGAAGAGTAAACGGTGACGAGAACTCAAGATCGGCCTTCGTTACTGTGTACAGATCAACTTCTTTAATTAGGCATGCATTTGTAACAACTTGTTTTGGATCGACAACATCCACTAGCGGTTCGCTAATGGCTACCTTCCTTATGCTACTCATGTCAAATCCATACACGTCATCCCACCAATTAATCTTCTCGTCTTTATATTGTCTATCTTCAATCCCACAAATGAAGAGAGTCGCTTTATCAGGGAAGAGCATACCATCTTCACGAAGCCATTTGTCTCTGGCAAAGAGTACTGTATCCAACATCGATTCATAGAACAAACAGTAGCCCATCCATTCAGATATTATTATATCGACCTTTTCTATTCCATCGGGCAATGAAACTTCTTCGACTTTTCCTTTAAGTATCGTTATAACGTTGGACAGATTGTTTGCCTCTACTATCTTTTCTGCGTATTCAACAATATTAGAGCATTCGATACCAATGACTTTGGCTGCACCAGCTTTAGCTGCAAACATGGAGAGAATACCCGTGCCACAGCCAATGTCAAGAACTGTCTTCCCTTTGAAGAGATGTTTATTATGATACATGGAGTTTCGGTAAGTTACAGTGCGTACTTCATCCTTTAACATTTCTTCATGTATTCCATAATGAGCGTAGGAATCAAAATAGTAATCCCTTGATGTCATATCATCAACAGATACAGATTCTCTGCAGGATTGTGCATTAACATTTTTATTCACAGTAGTAGGCTCTGCTGCTATGTCCATGGATTCCATTTCTGATGTCTGTAATATTTATAGAGAATCAAAAACTATTCGAGTATTCAAATAATCTATTTATTTTGCTTTTTAATTTATTGTGTGCTTATAAGTAATAATTATAAAATTGTATTAATTGTAAAATTATAAATTTGGGTTTTTATGGTACATATATAAAATTTTACTTAAATTTCTTCGAAACAAAGAAATGGCTTTAGTTTAAAACTATTTGTAATGCAATAAAAATATTTAAAAATTTTGAATTTTTCCAACAATTTTTGAAAGCCTAAAATAAAATAGTTAAAAAAACTAGATTAGACAAAGAGAATAAAAGTACGATTACAGATAGATGGTTATAAATTATAAAATACAATACTTTATAATCTCGTTGTGTTATAACAATGAAAAAAGCTTCATTTCATGATATCTGTTCTTTTCAGTCTAAATTTCTTTCACAGTTTATTCTTTTTTTTTTCATGAAGAGAAAAGGAGGAAAGAGATGAATCATGCAAGAAGTTTTAACTAAAAAAATACAGGTATGTAGATATGTGCTCTGCACTGCTTAATATCATTTAATCAATGTAATAACGACAAATGCTTAGCTTCAGTATGGAAAAAATAGATAAATCACATAGGAATGTATCGGTCATCCACACTCCATCGTATAAATGTATAAAGCACACACATATATCCTACAACTATTGTTTATACTACAAAAATAAATACAGTTTAAGTAATAAATTTACAATGACGTTCATAAGTACGATTAGCGTAGGGTCTATAGTCCAACGAACTCGTTCTCGCGCCGGCGATAATACACGTGCCCGCCAAAATAAATGGCGTCTCTTTCCGAATCGAATGGCCAGTCGATATCCTGCCAGCACGCGCTCTATTCTGCGATATTGCTATATCGTTTCCGCTGGACTATATAGAATGTCTCTCGAGTACTGCGAATCTCCCTCTTTTCGATAATTGCGTATCCGTAGCCAGGATTATTTAACGTTTTAATCGCGGAATCGCCTCAAAAAATGTATCGCGACAGTGTGATTCCCAACTCGCGCCGACAGCCTCGCGGGTATCTCTACTGTGCGAGACGCGTTAGGACTATATTCATCATGACAAAGTCGATGTCCTAGCTGTTTTGTACTCCGATAGTGCGCATCTATTGATTACAGAGCGTATCGATGCGTGGATAATAGCCCGTTAGAGGTAAAGTTTTCCGTTACTTTATTGAATAACCGACTCCATAAAACTCACCGAATTCTCCGTAGTACACACGCGACTCTGCTTGATTTCTACCGGCACTTCATCACTCGTCGCCATTTTGACTGCGTCACAGCAGACGACCGAATCATCTCCCAGGCCTGTCACTAGCAGTTAGAGGCTCCGCACAACAAGGGGCTTTGCACAATAAAAGGAACAGGGAACAGAGAACAGAAAATAAGAATTTCAACCTATCAGAAACTGTGTATTCCACAATACATGATTTCTGATAGATTGAAATATTATTCTCTATTATTAAATCTTATTCTTTGTTGTCTGTTCCTTGTCCTTTTATTGCGCGGTGCCCCTTACTAGTGTGAAAAGCATTTCTCACTAATTGCGACATGTAAATATGTATTTTCTTTTTTTTTTTTTTTTTTTTTTTT